TATTTCTCCTTGGCCTTCCTCATTAAGAATCAGACTTGCTATTCTACCCGCAAGTTGATCGCGCCACTGCGTCCTACCTTTCGTTGAAGCCGTGGGGTCTTGTCTATCCCCCTTAAATTGAAAACATGCTCCGTTGGATGGGTAAGTCATCTCCTTCTAGTAACTATCGATAATTGTTAAGGTATGAGTAACGAATCTATTTTTAAGATGAGGTCGGAGTGGGGTATCTTCATGAAGTTGAGTTTCCTCCCACAAGCTCCAAATCCCCTTGGATCCTACCTCCTTCCATTCTGAAGTCAATATTGTGCCGATTATTTCCACAAAGGTGGTAAGACTCCTCTAAAATTTGATTCTTGATACGGTTCGGGATTTTAGCCACGGTTACTAGTCCATCCCTAAGGTTTCAATTTCCTAGCACCGTATTTCTATTGTTGCTTGCAAGCTCATGTTATTACTTGTCTCGAAGTATGGTCCACCATTTGTTTTTCTTTGATTGGGGGTGAGGCGTAAGTCAAAAACTACAGAGGCAATTCCTTATGGGCAAGCTACTAATTTAGAGTTTAATTATCCTAGGGTGTTCACACAGCACAACTTCATGTATACATAATAATAATTACAAGATTCTTAAAATTGGATTGAAGTGGAGACGAAGAACACGAAGCAGTTATGGTGATAACATCAGGATTAACTGAAATATGGATGAACGGTATGATGTTATGGTTTCGAACTTCAATGTGATCAAGGTTATAGATGTAGTGACTAAACTAGATATTTAACTTGAAACTGCGTTGGCCATCCGCGTTTCAAACTGAATATCCAAGATTCATCACCGAGTAAAGAAAATGAAATTATTTACAAGGAGCCTTGGGCTAAATAAAATAATCAAGGGTCAAAGGAGGTCAAATTTACAAATAGTAGTATATAAAACAGGACTAGATGGACAATACTTAATCTTGGTAAAGGATGACATTGAATAAAGGTTACGAATACAAGGTGAGGGTACGACAATCGATAGAAGGCACGTAGAACTAATAGTACCCCCTACTGCGCAATGTGAGGCCGCACTCAAAGTTAAAACCATTTCACGTTCCTGAAGTAGGTCCTCATGAGTTGATGTTGGTGTGCCTGAAATTCGAAGAAATTCCCTAAGATAGGTCAAGAAATATTCTACTTTGATGTCTTTTAGATGATAGAATAGGTAGTGTAATAATATAACATAATCTGGGCAATGTAGTCTCTAACCGCAGGTCGAAACGCGTGGGTAAGGGTTGAACCTAGGCTCTGATACTATATTGTGATGCCCCAAATCTACACTATTGGTTGCAGTCAAAGGAGAGTCACCAATGAGTCCTATGGTCAATAACCAAGTAAGATCCCAGATCGTCGGAGGAGTCAAATTAGCCTCCCTTCTAAGTCCAACTTTCTTAGGCAGCGCACTACCTTTTTGACAGATCTTAAAAAATATTGACACAAGGTCTCATAAGCAACGATAAGGTTCAAACACATAAATATTAGAATATAAGTACATAACAACCACGAATATCCTTAATTTCAAAAGCTTGTTCTATTACATTACATCCCAAAAAGAAAATTTAAATCTTTATATGAGCCTTACAAAATATCAAAGAAATTTCTAACTTTCCTAAAGTAGCCAAAAGTCTTCGAAGGTTTCAGGCTCGTTGTCTCCAGCTATAAGCTCCTCTTTGGCACTTAGCATGATACGCCGTGAGCTTTGAATGCCCAGTAAACACACACACACCCCGTCCCTTTTTCCCAGTCCAATACACAATCACAAATATAACCTCAAGTAATAAAGCATGTTACTCAACTAAATAGATAAAGGGTTACAAGTTAGATGTTAGTAAACTAGAAATCCCCCAAAGAGATTTCGTCCTCCCAACCACAAGAATCGGGCGCGGATTATTCGATATGCCCCCTCTTTTGCTGCTTTGTTGCAGAACTAACCTCGAATGCCTACCAACGGTTATATACCGCGTAGCGCCAACTGAAGGGCCTCAAAAGAGACGGTAAAATAGAGCCTTGCCCAAATCCCTCCTCACACCAAACTACCTAGGGTCCGAATACAACCGCTCCGTTCAAGGGTTCCGAAAACCACTTGCGCAAGACTTTACCTTTCAAATAGGGAACACATCCCAACAATCCAAATATCACATATTCTCATCCTTTCATTACTCAAGTGTTCGAAAACCCAATACCCTCCCCATTAGGTTTCCTGTTGAATTAAATGTTTTAAATCAAGGTTAGTCCAACTTATAAGACAATAATATCCATAGGTTAGACAGCTTAACAATATAATAATATCCACACAAGCATGCCTCAATAAGATGAAGAAGATGAAGAACATAACATAACACATACAATACATGCCAAGATATGATCATAAGCTAATAAACATTTTCATAAATACGAGGGCATAAAACATCCATGCATAACGAAATTTCCATATTTAATATCACATAAAGATTAAAATGAAAGGACTATTCTAGATCTTTCACCGGACTCGGCCTTCCTATGGTTCGTAGAGGATTTGATCTAGTTTCTAGAACATATTTCAGAAATGGGATTGCTTTTCTAGATTTCAAGTTATTTAGAAAACATTCCAGCGCTGTCCAGATTCTGTCCAGGTCCGTAGACCGTTACGAAAATTTGATTTTCTTTCAAACCGCTTAATGTTTTTCGATGAAACCAATTTTAGTTGAAATATAACTCCTTAAGGAAGATTTTGACATAAAATAGAGGTCTAGAATAATTTTATACATTTTTCTAGAATTTTTGAAAGTGAGCTGCAAAAACTGATTCTAAGGTAAAATGCCCAAAACAAGAAGATTTATGAGAAAAGCGTTCCACCAAGGGAAAATTTTCGTTTATTTTATGATGAAAACATGCTAACTAACATATATTAAACTCAGAAAATTTTCTTGAAAGTTTGCCCTTGGAAAGTTGAGAGATTGGTATGAAAAAAAGATGGTTTTGTGCCGCAATGGGGAAAATACAGGAGAGATAGAATCAATACTCAACACTTAGCATTTTTAACACAAGTAACTCATCAATAACAGATCTGAAAACATTAGTTAGGACACTTAGAAACATGTATTTGAAAAATGAAAATGAAAGAGAAGGTTGTGTTGTGGCTTACCTACTAAGCTTTGCACAAGAAGGCTCTCTTCTTTCTCCTTCTTCCTCTCTAGACTTCTCTCTCTTGCTCTCCTCCCTCTCCTCAAGCCGAATGTGTGTGAGTGTGTTTTTTGTGCTTGCCAAGCTAGGGGAGTGTTGGTATATATAGACAATTTTTGATGTAAAATGTCCTAAAAGCCCATTAGTTGGAAATGGATGGAAATGTTAGGATTTGTTTGAAGTTTTAAAGGAATAGGGATGATTTGGGAGGCTTACTCTTAGGTTTGGGCAACATTTGGTTGTAATGAAACTAGTTTTGGAATTAGCATCCTAGGTCTAGGGTACTAGGTTTGTGAGTTTCTAGATTTTCATGGTGATAGACTTAGAAAATTGTATCATCACTTCCTCCTAGAATGGCCGGCCCTAGGGAAGGGTGAAGGGGCTATTTTTTTAATTAATTTAGGTTCTAGGGCACACTCCTCAAGGTGTATATTTATATATATCTCACTTGATTGATGGTACTCATGGTACAAGGGTACAAGTACTAGTTTTTAGGGTAAATTTTGAATTTAAATAAAGAAGGGCTTGGAGTTAATTTCATGTATTGGAACCTTACTCATGTAGAATTGGATTAAATTAGGTTAGGGAACCTAATCTGGCTAGAAAAATTCCTGCTTCGATAAAATAATAAAAAAAATGCTAACCGACAAGATTCGAAATAATTCAAGTAACTGAGGGGCTTTAATAAAATAATTCAAACATTAGGGTTTTTAAAGAGAATACATTTTTCAGGGGCCTTACACAAACTCTGAAATGGGTAGTGATGAGAAACTCTGAATTTGGATCATCGATTTAGGTGATTGTTTGTTTGATATGTGGATTGTTAAATTTTTTGCCCGCCAAGTGTTTGATTCTATGCTCAAGTGACAATTTTATCAGAAACAATTGGAACATGGTCACCAAGTGTTTGAATCTATTTGAATCTGCTTTCACAATTGAACATGGTCACCAAATTTATCAAAAAAAAATTCGCAATCTGCTCTCTTTACCTTATTAACTCACAAAACCCTCCACCATGCATATCAGGGCTATTATTACATTGTGCAATTTTATCAAGTGCAAGTTTAAACTCATGACCCTTTGGACAAACCAAGGTCAGGTGTTGACATGTGTCAAGAAAATAAAAAAACTTAGGCATCTTATACAATATCAATCAATCACTCTATTTAAAATTTGAAAGCATACATCCAAAAATAGGCCTTTAAACTATATATAATTTTAGTTTGAGAACAGGGACAATACATAGAATGAAAATTCAAACTATGTAATGAATGTGTTCTTTGACAAAATATTATAATGAATCCATTAAACCAACTAGAAGTACAGTAGTATAATTAATGAAAAAGTCATGATTAACTGGACAAAAGTAATGAAAAAGTCATGATTATATTAATGAAAAAGTCCAGTCCAAGTATTGACAAAGAATAAGCTCTTTATCATTGATTACCTATTAGCTGGATTCTTTATTTTTGCTTTATTTTTGGTTTGTAATAATATTCTCTTTCTCGTTGTGAATAGCATATGATTAACTGGACAAAAGTAATAATGCTATTAGTAATTACTTTTAAAATTCATCTATCATAGCGATCATTGGTTACAATCACTTGAATTTGGGAGGTTAATAAACTCTTTTTGTAGGCCCATATGCAAAGATCATTTTTTTTTTAATCTCATCAATACTTTACATTAAACTGATCACAATATAAAAAATTACTGAATAGTTGTCTTTGTGGGCCATTAGCTTAATTTGTATATATTATTTGTAGTCATTATTTTCAAATATTGAGTGTCATGGTAATTTGTAGATTTCAAATGAGAGATTGGTTAGGACTTGGTGCGCACATCAAAAATCAGTGACTTGCTTGACATTTTCCAGCGATGATTCATTTCTTATTTCTGGTTCAGAAGATGGCATGATCATTATTTGGCCTATGATCGGGTAAAAAAAGTGAATCTTCGTTTCTTCAACAATTGAATGTTTGTATTTGAATGTTGTTTAGTTTTATTTTTCAGGAAAAATAAATAACTGACTTTGTAATCACATTGTTTGGTGGAAGTTTGGTAGACGAGACAGATTGTTGGACTGTGGCTTTAAAACTAAATTTTTCGTTGGAGCTTTCATCCTCTATAACGGGCCTATTACCTGCATCAAGTGGCTCAAGTTCAATTTTTTTATCAAGATCCCTCGATGGCACATGCAAGGTTACGGTATTATGTTAAATGTTTCATAATAATATCTTCCTAGCATGAGTATTTTTGTTTCTCGAAATGACTTATTTTCGTATTGTAGGTATGGGACCTTGTTACTGGAAGACTTTTACAAACTCGAGCTTTTCCACTACCAATTACTACAATAGTTGTTGATCCAACAGAGATGAAGTTATTTTCTGATGGTATAGATTACTAGTGGATATTTCTCTTTTGTATACGGAGGACATCATTTTTGTATGATTATCTGTTTGTATGGAATTATTATTTTGGGTTGGATTATGTTTGGTTTGTATAGAATTTGATGTTACAAGACCAAATTTTTGGATGGTTGAAAGTGAAATAGAAATAGGCATATGTATTGTTTTGTTTATATATAGGGTGCAGGTTGCACGAAATAAATACAGGTTGTGCAGAAATTAATAATAATAAAAAAAATTAACACTGAATAAAGTTTTTGGTGACTAAATGTTTAGTAGCCAAAAAAACAAAATAAAACTTGTTGGCTACTAAAAATTTAGTAGCCAAAAAGAAACCAAAGATTTTTTGGCGACTAAAAATTTAGTAGTAAAAAATATATGAGACTTTAGGCGACCAAATAGTTTAGTAGCTAAAAAAAATATGAAAATTAATATTTTTTTGCGACTAAATATTTAGTAGCTAATAATAAATGATACTTTGGGTGACTAAAAGTTTTAGTCGCTGAAAATGAAAATTAATTTTATTTGAAAACTTTTGGCGACTAAATATTTAGTCGCCAATTTATGACTTTTGGCTACTAAAAAATATTTAGTCGCCAATACCTCGTACTTTTCCTTACTAAAACATTAGTAAGACTTTTGGCGACTAAATTTTTTTTAGTCTCCAAAACCTTCCCCGACCATTTACCCACGACAAATCTAGCGACCAACATATTTAGTCGGGAAAATGCTTCAGCGACTAAAAACCTTACTTTTGGCGACTAAAATCGCCAAAAGTGCATTTTCTTGTAGTGACAAATTAGTCTCACATAATCAAATCAGCACAGATTAGCACAAATAGTCATAACAATCTTGCAGCAGCACCCAAAAAACAAGGCCTAAGCATTTAAAATAACTAACACAAAAACAACAAAACAGCAGCACCTAAGCATAGCAGTCAAGCATGAATACAAACAGATTAACAACCAACACAACATGAATAACAACCAAACAGATTAACCACCAAACAGCAGCACACAAAACAACAAAACAAGGCCTCAGCAGAGCAGCATGAATACATTTAAGCAACCAACACAACATCCCAACTCAGCCAATCAACCATCTTACCATTAACTAGCACCTAAGCATAGCAGTCAAGCATCAAGCAGCCAAAGTGGAAAAAAACAGCAGCAAACTCTCCAAGTCAGCAACTAGAGATAGAGCAGATGAGTAAATCTGCCACAGATTCTGGAAAAATCTACCAAACAGCACAGCAGACCAAATGGAAAATCTGACTTGAGTATGAATTTGATTTTCAATTTTCTGCCAAAGTTCATAGAAATCGTAGAGGAAATTAATTACAAGGGTATTAAGTTCATAGAATATGAATGCACTTGGGAAATTGGGGTCCGAACAAGAAGAAGAAGAAGAAGAAGAAACAAGACATAATTAGTCTACTCACATTTAAAGCTAATTTACTGAAGAACCAAGAGTAGGCATGAAATTCAAATTACAAGGTTCATCAATTTAAGAGGTTGAACATTGCACAAAATTAAGGAATTATACATAACATCTGACAACGTAATACAAGAAGAACAAACGCCATATTCTTAATTGCCTCCATTACATCAACAAAACAAGCTGGACAAAGAAACAAAGAAACAATCTACTTAGAGAACACATAAAGTAATTTTACAACAAAGTGAGTTAAAACTCTAGGTCCGTATCTGTATCAAAATCACTTTCTATCTCATCTTCTTCTTCGTCATCACCCACGATTATTAGTTCATCATCGTCATCACAGATGAAAGCATCATCCATAATACCCTCGGGTTGTACACAATTATTGGACTGAGAAACTTCTATTGAAATAATTTCAGGTTCAATGTCATCCCGACGCAAAACAACAACATCATCAATAGGCTCAGTTGTTATAACAGTAGTGGTTTCATCTTCTTGCAACACTTCATCAAATTCTGGCACATCCAGCTCTGGCACATCCCAAATTCGTCGATGTTGAAACTTTTCTACGACTCGCCAATTCGGCCCTAACTTCGTATCGTGAACATAGAAAACTTGTTGAACTTGGCTTGGGAACACAAACGAGTCATCTTTATATCATCGACTTCTTACATCAACAGTTGTCACATGTGGTTCAACATGTAAAGTTCGACTACTACCGGTGTTATACCATTCACATTGGAACAAAAAAAACCCGATGTCCAAACAAATATGTCAGTTCCCACACTTTACAAAGGTAGCCGTAGAACTTTATCAATTGGCCTTGGTGGTTGCCTTCCACTACCAACCCACTATTTTGACATTTACGACAGTTATCACAGTCGATAGTATGGAATCGGACGCCATTTCAAATGCATCCCGAATATGTGTTCACTAAGGCATTAGGTCCATTGGCTAATGACCACATCTTCGGTTGCTTCGGGTGACTTTTGATTTCGCAATTGGTTCATCTACACAAGAAAGTATGTCATGTTAATTCAAACTTAGAATAATTTAACGTTATCTGCAAACTATACACTAACGAGTTTTAGCTTACGCAATCTTTGAACCATTTAGGAAATTCTTTGCATTATCGTGTTGCAATGTTGCATGAACTTCCATATTTTTGTTGCAACACGAGCTTGTGTTCCCTAGTTAATACAATGTAATTCATAAGTAATTAGAATAATAAAGACTTTAAAAAATAAAAACCATGTAGAAAATGTATGTTGCATATATGATGAGGAATCATACTCTAGATATTCGTTCACTTCCAAACTATTGTGTAAAATAAACCAATGAGCCAATTCGCGGTCAGCTACGAACACATCAATTGCCCTTGGGAGTTGACCAAAAGGACGAACAATTTGAGTGAAAATCGCCAACCCCGGGCCATTGTCACCCCCATTGTAGTTCCTTTTTTCCCGGTTAAACACCGTTTTAACTCCATGCAAATACATTGAACAAAACGTTGTACACTCTTTTGAAACTTTCGATATGTAGCCCTCCGTAATGGAACCTTCTGGTCGAGCTTTATTGCCCACAAATCCTTTAAGAAGTCCGAGGATCCTACATGTAAACATCAGCCTGATCGTCAGTATGGTCATATTGAACTATAATTAAATGAAAAAAGTTCTGACTCGCAGTTATACCTCTCAATAGGATACATCCATCGATATTGCACAGGCCCTCCAAGCATAGCCTCGTAAGGAAAATGAATTGCCAACTGGACCATGACATCAAAAAAGCAGGAGGAAAAATCTTCTCAAGCTTACAAAGTATAAGTACGATTTGTTCTTGCAATTTCTCCAAATCAGTCACCCTCAATGTCTTTGAACACAATTGTTTGAAAAAAGTTCCCAACTCAAACAATGTGTTCCTAATCTCGATAAGAAGGTATCCTCGCATCCTAATGGGAAGAAGTTGTTGTAGAAGGACATGACAGTCATGACTCTTGAGGCCAACTAACTTACCTCCATTCGCGGTGACACAATTGGATACATTTGCCGCATAGCCATCAGGATACTTAATCGATTTCAAGAAATCAGAAAACCCTTGTCTCTCTACCGGGACAATGTGTACAATGCCGGAGGCTTCTCGAAAGAGCCATTCGCATGCCTTATCAAGTGTAACTCCTTTCGTATTCGCATGTCCTCCAGATCCAAACGTGCTTTGTCGATCGAATTTAGTACATTTAAAGTTGATTTTGAGCTTGAAGGTTCAATCTGGAATTTCCAGATTTTGGACTCACGCTCGAGCGGGGGAAGTGACACTTGAGCGTGAAATGCGTGTTTCCAGCATTTTCATACGTTTTACAGTTCGCTCGAACGGGGGAATGCACGCTCGAGCGAGGGTCTGTGTCACACGCTCAAGCGGGGTTCGAGCGCCCGTCAAGCATGAATTTCATGCATCCAGTACTTTTTCATAAGTTTGCAGTCCGCTCGAGCGGGGAAGTCCATGCTCGAGCGGAGCTTCTTTGTCTGCATGTCCGCTCGAGCGTGGACCTTATTTTCAGAAAAATTGCCTAAGTGTTCCAACTCATGTTTTGGCATCCTCATTGCATCTTAAGCATTCCTAAGCCTTATTTAAGCCATAGTAATGAGGTTATGGATTAGAAACACACTAAGGAAAGAATGTACTAAGTTTCGAGACTGCAAGTGTGTGTGTGTTTTAGGCAATGTGACAAGAAAGTATAAGAACCAATGTAATGAAAGCTAAGCCTTAATGGCCACTTGAATGTGTAATGATAAGACATGCTTGTGTTATGTATTTTGTAATTGTAGGTCAAGACTCGAGGGTTGATTGACCATTGCTGCAACCACTATGAGTAACATTTCTGTAAAGATATATTGATATGAATTATGTTCCAAATGAAATGTGATAATGTAACGCCCTCGAAAATTAAACCCATTAGATATATATAACATCAACATGCAATGTTAAAAAGGAAATAGTTCATTACAATATTCATCAGAGTCTTACTAAACAAAGCATTACATGTAACATCAAATTAAATGCCCTACAGGCTTACATCTTTCCAAGCCAACACTTGGACACAAAAGTATGAGTTCTAGCTCAAATACGAATAAGCCCTAGGCTTGTGTGTTTACATATACTAACAAATATAAGCAAATAACTGAAAATAATCTTCAAAATCCAAGTCCTTCCAAACTATGTCCTTGGAGGTAGCTTATCACCTGAACCTGAAAATGATGTTCCCATATAGGGTGAGCCACAACCCAGTAGCAATATACTAAACCAAATATAAGCATTGAATAAAGCAATAGCATTCAATAGATGGTTAACCAAGATAATCAATTACATCATTATCCAATCTCATGACATTATTGTCAACGACACGTTTCACTTTCCAACATTATCAATATGGCTCAGAACCTGGCCAAACTTACAATAGTGAATTATATATATATCATATTCACATTCTTCCAATGTCAACAAACAAATGAGACTCAAGCTCAAATCAAAACACTTCATACTTCCAGATTGATACACATTTTAGTGCTGTATCAATAAAAACACTTCTATATAAATAAGCACACATAAAAGTGATGCTAATGGAGTCCATCCCCTATCTCCTCCCAAACAAAAATACATATACAATGTATTAAACACTTGTCATATACAACACACAATCAATACACATAATGTCTATATTAATT